ATATATAATATGTCTCCCCCTTTTGATTAAATATGGTAGTACTCAGAGTATACAGTATGTCTTCAATCTAATTTTTATATCTCTTTTGTTACAATAACTTCATTATGTTGCAGCAAAGAATAAGAATATTTTTTTTATTGTCAGAATTTTAGTGGAGGCTTTGAAACAAGTTTCTCAAATATATCTAGAAGAATTATCAGGAGGTGTCCTGACAGTTTACCTGTCTACCTGTCCACCTAGTCTGTTATTGAACACATGTATGCTCTATTTATAAGAAGTGCTTTGTAATTGTATTCACTTCTTTGGGACCATTTCCTATGGTGTCCCATTGTGTGGATTACAAAATGATGCATTCACAGTCTTCAGACTAAAGACTTCTAAGGGTAAGATAAGTTACAGTACATATCAGCAAAATCTAAAGAGAAAAACTGAAATATGTTGATTGCATAAGTATTCAGACATGTGTACTCAATTTTTGGTTGGAAGTGTACTTGGAAGCAATGACTACTGCAAGTCTTTTGGGAAACTGTCTATTTTGCCCATCCTTCATGGTATCTGACTTGTTTTGAAAGCTCCTTATCCTTCCTGGTTTAAATCTGCTTTAAAATCACTTCCTGAGAAACCATGGCAAATGTTGATTTTGTCATTTTGCAACTTTTTAATAAATACATATTGACAAATGTCTAATTAAAGACAGTTTTTAAGAACTAATGTGGTACGTATGTAATATCTTACTTAAATCTAATTACTTTTTGAGCAAGACAAAACTTTTCATTGTGAAATCATGAGAACCGCTATTATTACATATGGACACAATTAATCGTGTGTCTCATAAAACAAAATTTGTCACTTCAAATATTTATTTTGCCACCTGAATATATTAGGTTTATTAATGCAAAGGGATTGAATACTTAAACAATATTGGCATATCCATTTTGCTTTCATAGTAATTATTTACTTCTTTCTTTTTGTTTTTTTATTTGAATGCTATCTTGGCCAGGATTTATCTTGCCTTGCACTTCTTGCATGTTGGGATAGGCTCCAGGTCCCCTGAGACCCTGTATTGGATAAAGTGGTTAGAAAATGGATGGTAGTGTTTAGTAGGTTAAGTATTTAACAAACATATTAATAGCTATGTCAAAGTGTCATGACTGTAAGCTTTAAAGCAACAAAATGTAAAAACTGTACACTGTTCAAGATTTTTTAGATTGTATTGCTTAAAATGAATGCTGTACGCATGAATGTCTGTACAGTATATGTGTATCTATTACAATACTAAATTGTTTTGATAGTCTAAAGTTCCAGGACCAAAGAACTTTAGCTTTGAATTTTTTAGCCTGAGTTTACACGTTGCCAGCTTTCTAGATCTTTGGAGAGAGATCTTTTCTCTCCACAGCAATTGGAGATGATAAGGCAATGCTGAGCTTCATACAGTTTTCTTGATAAAATTGGAAAAAAGCCTGATCAGACATGTATATTTTCATTGTTTTTCCATTTGACATTTTTTTCACAAAGTGAGCTACAAAGAACTTGCATCTCACTTCTGTCTTCTAGGAGGCATCTTCTATTACTGTGTAAGTTGATTTATTTATGAAGAGAACTGTGAAAGCTGACCTAGTTAATGTGGCACATCTGGTTTGCAGTGGGATCCTAACAGAATCTGCTGCTCACCATTCAAAGCACTAGTGTCTTTCATGTAACACAAGAGGAAAAAACACACATTTTCTGAGCCACGGACCTTATCATCAGGCTAAGCCTAGAACTGCTTTGACCAGTGGTTCTCAACTGGACTCTTTCCCTCAGTCATGGAATATACCCTTGTCTGCTGTTTTTTGTTTAAAATGCTTTCAGTTCTATGACAGTTGAATGAGATTTGTAAATTATCTCAACACTGTGCTAATTAGGACTGCACTTATTCAGGTGTGTGAGCTTAAATATAACCAGAATGAAAAACACTGACTCACTGGGGACGTTTTCTGATAGAGAATCATTCGTACCTGTGTTTATTATCACTGAGAGAAGAAAATGGTGTAAATCAGCAACATAAGTTACAGGCACCAATTAGCACTGGTGATTAAGAGCCTAGTTGGAACAAAAACCAGCCAACACAGGGATACTACAGAACAAGGACTGAGAACCACTGGCTAAAACAGTAAAGTATTACTTGAGCTTCTCCTAACTGATGTGGGCACAACGTAAGACTCAGAATGCTGGGAGAATGTGGTTTATTTCCAAGGTGTCTTTTGATTTTTTAATGACATCTGAACTCAAGATGTTAAGTGAGCTTCAAAATCTAGAGGTAAATCCATTTTCTTTTCAAAAGTGCCCTGAACCAAGATGAGAAAATAACGCTTTAGGATGAAATCAAAGGATATTCTGAGCCTTAATCAATTTCCATAGATGTTGCCATCTTGAAATAATTATCCTGAAACTACAGTATATATGTGTATTATGCGATGTAAAATTGATTCCACTTTTTCCTCTCTCTCAAACTAGGGCCCATTTTAAGTTCTCCAACACTGTTAATTTCAGAAATTATTTTTATTTGTATTTTTGCCACATTGGTTTTGTCTCCAGCTTGTTTGACATATTTGTATTTCTAGAATTACTTTAGCAAATTAAGGGTAAATTCTGTTTATAATGTTAAATCCATCTATATTTTTACGGTGATTTTTGTGTTGTTATGTGTGGGGTTGTACTACTATGAAACGGAACCAAAAATGATTTATTCGAAGCAAACTATCAATTTTTATCTAATATGTAAGTATTTTGTAAATGCAGTGCATAACTCCAAAAAAATATGTTGGTCTGTTTTCACCACATTATATCGATCATTTTAATAAAAGTGATGGAATAAATTTTTTAAATAGTATGGCTTCTGTCGTTATGAAGTAGAGGATGGGGAACAGACAGAGCTGAATGTTTCAAGAATCTTCTACATGTGCATACAAGCTTCTGTGAAGCCTACTCTTACCTCCCCAAACAGGTGCTGCACAAAAATGCAGTGCATTCCAACCAAGCCCACAATCTGTTAAAGTGCTCTCACACACACAAGAAATGAGAACAACGTTTTCAGTGACCTCAAACAGACAATTAATCTGTTGCATTTATGCAGTAAATTATGTTTCAAAGAAATGGCCCTTAGGCAGTTGCTGATTTAAAAAAAAATGAATTTAGTTAATTAAATTAAACATTTTCCACTTAATAAGGATAGCGGGTCTCAGTATAGAGAAGAGACACAGGACAAATATTTGTCAGCCATTTTTAGATCCTTTGACAATACTACTCCTAATTGTTTTTATGATGTTATTTATATATAATGGATATTTTATGAGTTTAAAATATGCATTATGTAAAGAAATCACGTAACATTCTCAATGTTTGAGATCGCGCTAACTTAACTATATGGGAATGGTGTTGGCTGTCGATCAACAGCACTGTGCGTTAAAACTACTCCCATAAATCAGTTAAATGTTACTCATTGAAATTACAGTGTGCCAGAATGCATTCATCCAGTATTTCCAAGAAAAACTCACTACCACCATCACTAAGCTAAGCATAAGTGGTCAATATAAGCAGTTTTTTTGCTTGATCTGTACTTGTGTTGTTGTAATATTACTGGTATGACTGCAGTTGCTCTACCAATAAACACAATTTCAACATTTCATCAACAGGACGGTTTCTGCATTGTTGTCAGTGCTTTGAATGGCCTTCCTGGGGGTGTTGCTCTGACACAAAGCTACAGGGAAGGGCTGTGAAACACTCTCTTGATGTCATTTTCTGTGTAGGTGCTGCCACTGCACAGGCAGTATAAGAAGGACATCAGTTCCATTGCTTTAGTTAACATTTTTCTGTTTCTTCAATAAAAATCAATGTGAAGCTCACTGTCTGCATCTTCATTGTCTAGATTCACCCTAGCATTCAGATACTGTTTATGTGTGGATAAACTGTCAGCAAAATGCAATACAAGCTCCTAGGCTAATAATCAGTTGCAGTCGACCACATGACTGCCAATATTGATTGCACAGTAATTTTTTAATCAAAGAGATCTGACGGCTGAAAGATAATAGATGCATAAACAAACTAGACATAGTTTTCTGATGACATTTTTTGGAAAAAAAAGACATCTGTACACAAGCCCTTCCAACTTGTAGTGGGCTTTTTCTACTATGTACGTAGAAATTACAGCATGCTTTGCATGAATGATGGTGGAAAAATGTAGCAGCTTGTGGCAGTGATTTGAAAGAATTGAGTGTTTAGTCTTGTGCAAAAGAGATGGGACTTTGATCGTGGGAAAGCATCTGACATTCTGTGAAATGAAAACAGATTTACCCTATGAAGACAGGAGTACGATTCTGCCAACAAAAACAGGAAAAGTGTCACCACTGCCAAGACATTTAGTTTCTATCTATTTTGTTCATGGCGTCACGACAAAGATCTGTACTGAAGTGTGTGTTAATAAGATACAGTACATTAGATAGAGGAGTTTGCATTTTTTTTAGGCAGATGCAAAACATTGCTGTAGGCACCAGTACACAACATTGTATTTTGGTGCTTTCGTAAAGTGCTACACAATCATTGCTATTGACAAATGCTTTAATTTCTGAAAAACAATTTTCTTTTTTTATTATTGTACTATTATACAGTATAGTATTCCAGTATTTACTGCTGCTTGTGCTACGGTTGTTCTGTACTGCGATTTGATTGGGTGTGCAGTAAAAAGCGAAACCATGATTTAAATCTGAACGGTACTTGTTTAAATCTGAACGGTTCTTAAGGTTGGTATCTAGTATGCAAATTCAAGTAACACCAATCGCCAAGAAAAACATGCATATATAGTCACTGTAGGTACAGTATTATACGCCTGCTTTTCTTGCAATGCGGCCCGCTCGGGGGTAGTGGGCGCTAATAACCAAGACGCCCAGCCGAAGACAAGCCTGTAGTCTCGGGTTTCTCCACTCTGTGGCATCTCCAGAGCCCCGGACCAGCCAACAAACAGCGTCGGGATAGGCCACCTCCGGCATCCAACCAGGCTCGGCGCAGGACTACAGAAAAATAAAGCAGTGGAGAGGACCCCCTGACTAGAGTTTCTCTTTTCAAGGAAAAGCAACGAAAAATCGGGGGGAAAGTCTGGGCAAAGTGGAATTAAAAGCTAAGGCTGGGTTTTTGGAAGCCTCGGGCTGGGATGACGAAGATGTGTGCCGGGGTTTGAAGTGTGTTTTAGAGGGTTTGAGCTGTTTTTTCGAGGGGATAAAAACTTGTCTGGCAGCGAAGGAGCCAGAGAGAAGAGGGAGCTTCTTCAGCGAGAGGAGAACAGCAGTCTTGGGCAGAGAGGAGGCAAGAGTGGACATCGTGGAGCCCGTGAACTTCACACCAGGTACGGATAAAAGAGAGCAGGGTGGCTGTAGTTTTAAGCGCTCTAGTGTCTTTTTTTCTTTTCTTTTTATAAAATCCCAACAACTCAAACTTGTCCGTGTTGCGGCTGCCTGTGGTCGCTAAGGCTCGTAATACGAAGAATTGAGCAAAGCGGGCGTAGCAACCGAAACACGTAGCTAATTAACCAGAGAGCAATCCGTTGTTGTTTTATTGGTTTATTCATTCTTTACATCACTGTTTCTTCTATTCATTCGAAGTTGCATGGTTGGAGACTCGTGAAAATCTCCACTTTAAATACAGTAAAAGAATATTGCTAATCGTACAATTGATGGACCTCTTCAGCATGTAGCTCCACATCTGGAAATAAACTCCGCTTTGATTAGGGGATATAAGCTTGCTTTTATATTGATGACGGATAATGACACGGATCATCATGCCCAGTTGCATGTGTTAGTTCGAACGAAAATGAATTGGCAGAGAAGTGAACCGTTTGCTTCATGTTAGACTTTTCTATGTGCTTTAACATACAGTATTTAGATTAATGTAGTGGGAGTGTTCCTGTATTCCGAGTCACTCTTAATTTGGTGACATTCACAGACGACAGCCGAAATCACTTTAATATTAATACGCCTTTTAAAAACAAATCAATTTTTAACGGTTGTCCAGCCAAGATGTGCTGTGCCAAAGAAAGTGTCTCATTATACTGCGTTCGTCTTGTAGCTTATTTGGCGTAGCTACATTTTTCTAATTGAGCGGCCGTTGTATCTTTTACCTGTCCACTAGCCAGGATGAAGTATATTCCTGTATGTTACAGTAACTGGTTCAGCCAGGTGTGGTGCATTTCCACCTAAAACAACTTTCTTAAGGTATAACTTAATTAGCGTTACATTCTTCTATGTAGTGGTTGTTTTCAGTGTCTCATCTGTGCTATCTTTGTATTTTAACAAAAAGTCCCTTACAAAGGCAGAAACACTTTTTACGCTAATTTGTGGTCATCTGGTCTTAAAAATTTCCGTCAATCAATTATCTTTGTAGAGCGGTGATCTGCGACCATCTTAGTAATGAGGTCTTGGTGTTCTGCATGTGTTTTTTTTGTGGGGGGTGTTTTGATGTCCTATACAGAAAACGCTTCCCACACCATACTCATTTATAAACATAATTTATTTTGTTGATGCGTAGATTCTTTCGTGCTCAAGACGAGGGTGGTTCTGAAAGATTAAATAGTTAAACTTTGTTTTAACAGCTTCATTTTCAGGTGTTTGTATTCAGTGACGTAGAATAAAACCCGCGTTGATCATATGATCAGGTTTTTTTTTGCTTTGTAAATAAAGCATGTGAATCTTTTACTGTGTTTGACATAACGTTTAGTCCTTTTCCGACTAGAGTGGTCCCTAGCATTAACAAAATCCCAGAACCCGCATTAATAATATTAGCCATGTATTTGCTTTAACATTGTGTTGCATGTTGTTAACACTTTAACACACATTACCTTTGCACCTCTATTAGTTCTTTGAGAACACTTCTGTTTTACTTTTCGGTCTTTTATGAAGGCAGAAGTAGAATGCATGAAATTACTAAATAAATGGTTTATAATCCTTTCCAGCATATTTGTTCATTGTTTAAAAATTGATATGCCAGCAAAGCACGGTCATTATTCCCCTCAGGCAGTTAGTTTTTTGTTACGTGTATCTGAGAGATATACAGTTGTAGTACAGTTTCATCTTGCTTGCAGTCCAAATTAGAATGTGATTGGCAATCTAGATTTTGGCTAGTATAGAACTGTTTGTTTTTGGCGCACTCTCTAAACATTTCCAGAAAATTGGTGTCCTACATTTAGCAGGTATTTCTACAGATATAGAGTACAATTTGCTGTATTACCCAGCCTGCAAAAATACAGAAGCTTTGAACCTAGTACTTTTTTTGTTCCAGTAGACCAAAACGCCCAGACCGAAAACAGCTTGTAAAACTGTTTATTCAGAATTCAGTGTAGGCAAGAGTTGTGTTCAATACAATATCCACATTGTCTAAAGTGTGTTAAATACATTATGCATATTACTGTATTCACAGTTTGCAGCTGCCTGGCCTTAACTTTCTATATGCTGTGAGATTGTAATTGTAAGGCATGGAATACGTTATTTCCCTTTTTGTTTGTTTATAATTGAGGCTGGAATCCACCTACATAAATCTGTCTATAAGTAAGTCACCATCTGTCTGAAATTTCACTTATGGTAATGAAGTATATTTCCTGGTTATTCTTGTTTTTTGTACACTTAAGCATTTTACAAGCATGAAATCTTTTATTTGAAAAGCTTCAAATAAAATGATCAAAACAAAACATGGAGACGAGACTGTTACTGGTAAATTTCCTAATGTGCATTTAATTTATTTTGAATCCAGTATGTACGAGTAATTATTATGCACTTTAATTAATGGGTCTCCTACAGAGTTTAAATTGGCTGAGATTGGAGCTGCTGTGAGTTTGTATTTATTTATTTTGCTTCTCCTGTTTAAACTATACTTGTATAAGCATGTTCAATTTATCCATTTAAAAAAAAAATAGAAAGTTTGGATTGAAACCGTGTTGTGAGAAAGAAATGCATAGAGCTGTTGTTTTTGACAGACAAGGCCACATTTGAAAGTTGGAGGCAGGGGTTTTCCGTTCTCTGCTTTATCTGTCGTCTGGTGTGGGTTTAGAATTACATGCTGACACTGGTTTTAATTTTCAGGAGCTGCCTGAGGCAAACCATTGCAAGTTACAGCAAATTTACTGCGCTGAAACAGGTAGATGGTTACAGAAGAGAAAGAATAATAGTTGTAGTGTCCAATTGTGTGTGTTTCTAACCAAAGTGCTGATTAAATATGGCTTTGGTGTTCTGAAGCTACATAAAACAATCAGCTCCCTGATGTTTTGGAGACTGCAGGCTAAAAATTGGGTAAGTTTTCTGAAGAAAAAACTCTGCAGTGCCTTCTGGTTCTTGTTCTTGGTGTTAATCCTATTGCTGGTGGATGGCTAGAAGGTCAGCAGTTTTGTTACAGGCCGTGTTTGGTGTTTTCCAGTTTGCTTATTTCTCTGTCGTGTTCTACTCGGCTCTAATCCATACTCAAGCCACACCGACAGGTGAAAGAAAGAACTTGAACTTGAACTCTTTCTAATAATGCGACGATTGTCTTTATTTTCACAGGCTGTAAAAGTTGCCGTTCGGGTCAAATGGGTTTTAAAGCTGCTCAGTCTGTGAAGTCGGAGCAGTCGGTATACCTGATATCAAGTGAGACGCCTTAGGCAGCAGGCTGTGCGCCACTGGCCAGGAATTGTGATCTGTGATCAGACTCCTCAAACTGCATGTGCGCTCTGATCTGGAGTTAACATTTTTGAAGAACAGGAACAAAAGAAACATCTTCAGCTTTGGTACTGTAATGCTGTAAGAGTTCAGTGAATCATTTGGTTGTTTCATATTAGATAGTGATGAAATAATTATTCTAAACATTATACAAGAACCTTCTGCACATGTCATTTTCACATCTGTAGGTATTTTAATGTATTATCGCTGAAGTATTGCCTCCAGGGTTAAATATAGTTGCATTGTTTCACCAAGCAATAAAAATAACTAGTTTCTGTCTTTATTCAGGATTCTCAGTGTTTAAAGTGCTTTAAAATCCACTTTGGTAGATGTTAAATCCACTTTAATTATTGCTTCTGCCATATAATTCAACAAAGATGCTGGTCTGGTAGGATATTAATTATATTTTTATTTTTGCTTGTCCTTGGAGAATATGTATTGGCTTGTGCTGCAGTTGAGTTTAGAGCAGAGCCAGGTTCTTGTCTTTCATGCGACTGCTGTATATTAGTGTCTTCTGCTCAGAGCATAGTGCAGTTTGACCTTTCAGATTCAACTCGAGCCAGGTTTAATTTCATCTGTCTTTTCATCTAATGCTGACATTTAGTGTTACTGTTCTAAACTTAGTTTTTCCAATAGATCTAAGAAGTCAGGTTTGATCTAAAGATGTGATCAGATTATCCTTTGTTGTCCATTCCCTAGCTGAAAGGACAGTTTTCTCTGTAATTAACTTTTGGAGAAAAAAAATTACATTAATGAAACATGGCTTGGATTTTCACTGTTGTCTAACAGGAAAAAAAAAACATCTTATCAGCTGCACAAACAAGTATTATAACTCCAAGTCCATTGTTGTGAAATTGAAATGTTTAAATGGAAGTCTGGTGCTGTTGAGGTCCTACCCATACTTCTCCTGTCCACCCCCTTCCTCTTCTTTTCTTGCCTAATACAAGTAGGTTGCTTAACTGTGCTTGACAGATTAATTTGTTTTCCTTTCAACATGTTTTATGTTGCTTGACTGTGGATTGTAAATCAGTCTGTTAATGTCAGTCTGTGGGGTCATCACATCAGCTCAGTGTTCAAGCCGTGTACTAGGAACAGCTATAAATGTCTCAGGTCCCTCACAAATCCTGTACATTTCCCAAGGACTGACTAGGGAACCTTATGGAATGTGCTTTCTTCCAACACTTGCAGTGAAATGCGAGCTGATCTTAGTGTTGAAGCTTTTAATTTAATTATGTCATAATGTAGTAATCACGACGTGTTAATCGACAGCTGTAAAACGTGGAAGCAGGTAGTGCATATATTGAGAGAATGTTTGTTAAAGATTGAAAAAAGCCTTTTGATTTAAAACCACAGAGACGATGGTGCCATATGGAATACTAAGCCTAAAGTGGACGTGTGGCCAATCTGCTTACATGCTATTTAAGACCCAACAGGATGTGAATAAGTATAACCATTCTTGGACTTAGACATGTAATTAGGCTAGCTGTACACACACGGGGGGTGGATTCCTTCAGTAAATTAGCAGAATCTTCTAGTAGTTCATAGCGTTTGCCTTCTATGAATGACCACTAAAAGTAAACAGAGGTTTGTTTTTCAGCCTCTTATTCTGTGTTTACTGTGCCATGAATACCCACGTTCTGGGGTGTTCAGTTGGTTTTCAAAG